GCCCACCTTCTGCCGCCGCAGCCACAGGCACCTTCTCCTCCACTGTCCTCTTCTGTCCTCGCCTTCCGTCGGCTATCAGGTAAGCGCCAAGGCTCCGAATCTGCGCCTCCGTCCGCCCCCCCGCAGCTCCCCCGGCCGCCGCCCCTCATCCCAGGAATGGGTTTAACGCGCTGGGCGTCCGTCCGAGGCGACGACGGGGACCCTTCCTTCGCCCTCAGCGTCCAGGGGCTGTGGCTAGGGCGGCTTAGAGAGGGACGCGTGCAGGGGATGCACGCAGGCGTGTGGGTGCGTGTGTGTGTGCGTGTGTGTGTGTGTGTGTGTGTGTGTGCGCGCTCGGGATCCACACGACCTGCTTCTAGAAAGCCCGGGAGGGAGGCTGCGCCCGCAGGGTGGGGCACGGATGGCGGTGACCTGGGAGGGGGCTGCTCTGCTTCCTGGAGCTCAGCCTTTTGCCGCAATGGGTGTGTGTGTGTGTGTGCGTGTGTGTGTGTGTGTGTAGGGCCCATAGACGACCCCCGAGACAGAACCCCAAATCCGATTTTTCTGTCCCTGTTTGGCATCAGTCCTAAGGAAGATAGGGTCGGGTTCTAGAAAAGATGATTCTCTGCCTACCTTTCTCCATGCATCTCCCGGCGGGGCTCCCGATGGGCCTTCACTGCCTCTGATCTCAGGCGGTGGCCCGCCCCCTTCCCTTTTCCTCCTTCAGAAACCCGCAAGGGACATTTGGGGGCTGGGAGGAATCGGGGAGATGGGGAGGGGTCCAGGCGCTGTCACTTTAGCTGCCCTTCCCCCTGCGCGCGCCTGGTGCAGAGACGCGAGCAGCGCCGCGCCTGAGAGAATGTAGCGCGCGGATTTAATCCCCATGTGGACTCGAAAAGGCAGGGTCAACTGGCCTTGCGGTGTGAGTAGTAGACTCGACAGCCGCGGCTCCCCGCTCTCGGGCGCCCACCGCCGCAGCCCTGCACAGAAGTGCGCAGAGGCTGCAGGTGCATTTCGGAGCAGGTTCCTTTCTCTGAGCTCTGCGCCCGGAGCCCGGCGCCCGGCGCCCGGCGCTGCGCACGTCCAGGGCTCGCCCCTCACTGCGGCAGTGGGTGTGGACCTGGGTGGGCGAAGGAGAGAGCAGGCTGTGCTGCTTCCCGTTTCTACCCCTCCCCCGTTTTTTCCCCCTCCGAACGCGAGGTGCCATCTTTCTGCGGCGTGTCACGTCTTTATCGTACTATGCCAGGTCGGGTGTCTGGGCTTCCGAGGACAGGGCAAGGACTGGCATTAAAGTGGAGAGGGGCGATCGGCGCTGAAATCGACGTTTTGCTGCTGCGAACGTGAGCATTGAGGGCGTTCGCCCGGGTTCTTCTAAGGGAGCTCGGTGCTTTGTTGTAGAGGTTACGTGATCTGCGCCTTAGCCTCGGATTCGCGGGGGGGGGGCTTTTATTCTAGGAGACTGTTTTGCAGGTCCCCCCCTCAACACGCCCCTCCTCTTTCGCCTCTTATTTCTGATCCTTTGTTGGATCTCGTAGCTTGCTGGGGTCCTTGGATCCAAGTTACAAACCGTACCAGATGTGCATGACCCACAGGGCAGAGCCGGAGAGCGTCGGTGAGGCCCCGGGAATGGTATTCGTGGTTTCTGCGCTCACTGTGCGGGTGGCCCCGGAGGGACCACGCATCTTCGTACCCTTGACGTCTGGTGGCCACTAGGCTTCCCACCTGGAGACGCTGACCATCTCCCGGGGATGGGGGAGCTGGCATGCGGAGCCCCTCTCCGAGGTTTTACTCACTGTTGCTTCTCCTGGAGGGAGGATATTAGAAGGGCGCATGAGTTTTCTATATTGAGACCACACCCATCTTTCCGAGCCCAAGGCCGGAGAGGTGTGCACAGTGGGTGTTACCGTGGGAACTGATCTCGTCTGGAGGTGGGACCTCGGGTTGTTGCCCTGCCTCGGGGAGATTGAAGATCTTGAGGTGTGGGGACGCACCTCGCGTGGGGTTGGCCTCCTGGAGGACACCAAAGGGAGCCCCTAGTCCCTAAACTATAGCTCGTTCTAATTGATCCCAGAGGCCACAACCAGATAAGCGTCCCTGTTGCATTTTTTTATTATGAACGTGCCGATTAATTATTTTACATTATTTCTCTTGCGTGGGATTTTCACTTAAATGTTCAAGTTCACTGTTGCCCTTGGAACCCAGGCGAGGGAGTGGGGGAGGGGCAAACTCCCAGCGAACCAGCCCCAGCCTCCAGCCCTGCCTTAGGCCGATTTCGCGCCGCTTTCTGGTTCATTCTGTGGTTGAACACTGGTGCAAGGGTGTAGTTCTGAGACGATGAGAATCTTAGAAGCCGAGTCGTCCACGCGGCCGCCCAGGTTGATCTGAATTTATGGGGTAGACCCACTTGGCTTGGGGAGGAGAGCCCTCACCCTCCCAGGCGGCCGCTTCGCACCAGGCTGGGCTGGCTGGCTGCTGGAGTAGCTCGAGGATCGATTCAGACATTTCCCAGCCCTATCCCCCTTCTTTTTCCACCCGACACAGCTGGGCGCAGGATTCCCATTCCAGACTGAGCAAGGGTCTTGGGCAGCCTTGGAAAGGGGAGCCCGCAAACATAGGTGTCCATGCAGCCCCTCAGAAAGAGATATCCCCTCCTGTCCTTGTTGGGGGAAACTGGCAGGGTTGAACGCATTTTGCCTAAGGAAGTAACAAAGCACAGGACAGGCATCTGGAATATGTTGCGATTTGAAAAGTATTGGTGGTTTAACCAGAGGTCTGCTAATGGGGGTGGCCCTTCGTGCGATGGTTGAGTAGCTCCGTATCTGCCTTGGCGCGCACCGTATCCAAACGGCCTCACCCCACGACTTGGAGGGATGCACCAAGTCTAGAAATGTCCCGGCACCCATCACAGTGCCGTGGATCCCTCCCCACCCGCCGGCCCATCCCACTCCATGCTGCCCCCAGAAGCTAAGAGGTTCTTCTGCATCCGGAGATGGCCCTCGGGTGTTCAGGAACCTGGAAATCCAAGTCCTAGGTCCAGGCTGGTTCCCGTTGGGATGGATGACAGGGTCTAGGACAGTGACTGCCTGTGGCTGCTGCAGACTACTGTGTGTTCGGCTTCAGGCTCAGCAGCACTGCTCTAACTTTTGTGATCACTGCCTCACGCCCTCAACTGACCCCTTCTCCAGCCAGGGGAAGTATCTTTCCTATCATACCTATGCTCGTGGTTATTTCTGCGGTGTCATTTTGTGTTTAATGATTGTGCTCATGTTTACCACATAAAAATTGCCCATCCCTCATCTTCAGACCCTATAAATGAATAAATGGACTGATAGACAGGTGGACAGATTGCTAAGCGCACCCCCGCCCAGGCGCTGACCATCTGAAGTGACTGTAGAAGCTAATGCATTCCTTGGCTAATGTTTGCCTCCCTAGAAGATGTATTTGGAGGAATAATCTGGCTGGGCTCTGGGATTCCCTTCTGGAGCATTTGCAGGAGGGGTCTGGCTTTGCTGTGTTTTTGGACTAGTGATGGTCCATGCCTGTTGTGGAAGGGTGTGGCTTTTAAGTGGCTTCTAATGTCAGGCACTGCTTCCCAGACTGGAACAAAGAAAATGGATAATGCCCACTAATTGTAATAAGAAAATTTAGAATCAGTCTGACTGAAGAATAGTCAGATTTATTCTGTCTGGGAAGAGGACCCCTTGTATTGAATGTGCCCTTTGACCCACATGTCCTTGGAGGTCAAGACCAGTCTGCAGGCATGGCAGGGCTCTGATGTCTTTTGTTTAAGCTGACTTTTCCTTCTGCCTTTTGGACGTCAGTTTGTGCTATTTGTTTGTTTAAAAAAAAAAAACTAAGAGGTTATTCCACTTTCCTCCAGCATTGTTGGTATGATTTGAGTGGCTCCCTAGCTGTGTATATGAATGTGACTTACTTTTCCATGTGAACATATGATAATTTTCCAACTAGACCTCGCCTTCTCTTTAGTTAGCGTCTTCCTTACTCCACCCTTTGAAAGAGATCACTTGAAAACAAATAAAAAACATTTTTAGGGGCCTAACACAGGGTTAAACATACAATAGGCATTTGGCTCATGCTCATTTAATAAATAAATGGATACAATGGAGAGATATAGGTATAGAGAGTGGCGAAGAGAAAGTAGAATGGGGTGTGTATGCCTTCTTCAAGGTCACAGCATCAGGAAACTTTGGTGGTGAATCCAATCCATTTTGTCCCAGCTCTGTGGCCAAATGACATCCAATTTCCTGTGTCCCCTGGTGCACCTCCTTGACTTTCTTTGTCCTGAATTGGGCCTGATTGGCTGGTTCCCATAACTTACCTCTTCCTTGTTGGTAAGCGGGAAAGAGGAGAGGAAAGAGGAGAAACCACACCACCCTCCTCCCTGCCTGCTACCTTTGGGACAGTTAGTGAGATGGGGTGTGGAGAACCCTGCTCTCTGTTTCTTCCTCTCCCTCTTCCTTGCTCTTTTCATCACCCACTTCAGAGATTCCCCCTCTCTCCCTCCCACCCCCAAAGAAACCCACCTGCTATGCCCAGGAGTTAGCGGCTTCCACTAGTCCCTTGGAGCTGGCTTTGGGGGCAACTTGGCAGATGAAAGAAAAGAAGATCCCAACTTTGCTGCAGTGGGGAGAGGAACCCTCACACTCTAGCTGGGGCTTTCTGTGGTTTCCCTGTAAAACAGGGGTTCTCAGCTAGAGCAGCTGAGATGTCTAAAGAGATGTTTAATTTTCATAACTGAGGAAGGGTGCTACCGGGATCTCATGGGTAGAAGCAAGGGATGCTGCTAAACATCCTAAAAGGCACAAGACATCTCCCACATCCAAATATGAACGGGCCCCAAATGTCGCTACTGCCTGGCAGAGAAGTCCCTATAGGAAGCACATTGCTCTGGCACTCTTGTCTCAGTTACATCCATTGGATGTGTTGTAGGAGATGCTGAGTGCTGCTAGAGATCATCTCATTTGATCCTCATGAACATCCACCATGTAGTGGGTGCTGTTATTGTCTCTGTTACACATAGGGCAATTTAAGCCCAGTGGAGCTTCGTAACTTGTTAAAGTCATGCAGCCATGGTGTGGT